CCAGAATTCCTCAGCCCGCAAAGCTGGGAGTTGAAGTCCACAAGTCTTAAAGTTGCCAAGGTTGGACACCCCTGGTTTAAACAATTGTCATGTTACGAAATTGTCTCAGAACTCTTTCTGAATACTTGCAGAAGGTTGAACGGATAGGAAAAGGGGCACAGGGAAAGCTTTGTGTAAATCTTTCACATTCATGTTCTACCTTGTTTTTAGCCTTCACACAGCAAGTTAAGAGCTCTGCGATTGGAGTGAAGATGTCCTATCATGTTATCAGAATTACAATTTGCAATAACCCTTCCTGTTACAAGGACTGTATCGTGCATCTCTCTAGGCTTTAAGAAAGACTAGAAGATTAATTTCTTTTTCTTTTGTGAAAACTCTTTTTCACTGAGTCCAGGTTGAACATTGTGACAGTGTCCTCAGAAGTACCGGACTGCTATAGCAATAGCACTTAGACTTATATATATAGCCCTCTCTAGCCGGTTTACAGAGTCAGCCCCCAACAATCTGGGTCCTCGTTTTACCAAACTCAGAAGGATGGAAGATTGACTCACAACCTTAAGCTGATGAGAATTGAACTGCCAAACTGCTGGCAGCAGCTGATCAGCAGAAGTAGCCTGTGGTGCTGCATTCTAACCACTGCGCCACCGTGGCTCTTGTACAACTCTAAAAAAGAAATTGGTCATGAAACTATCTTGTTGTGGATAACAGCAACTTCAGGTGGATTGCAAGGATCAGGGGAGTTCACCTCCACTTTTGCCAAGCCAAGGGCTATATTATATGCAGGAGAGGAAATGAAGGTATGCAAAGGCCAAATGTTTCAACATGAACTTAAGTTAGCTTTTTATTCTCTTAGCATACTTCTTGCCGGCATGGGAGAATCCAATAGGGATTTACTTTCAGATACACAAGAAAAGATGGTGACTGATTACCTGCCAAATGTATGGATTGTCACAGTGACAGTTTCCAAAAGATTCCTCCCAAGGGATCACACCATTACTTGCTTAAGCAGGAACAGAATCTGAACCTTTTCATTTAAGGAGGAATAGAGCTATTGAGAAACTTCTGGGCAAGGTATTATGTAACATCTCTCTCTCTCTCTTTCTTTCTCTCTCTCTCTCTCTCTGTGTCTGTCTGTGTGTGTGTGTGTGTGTAAAGACACATAATGGCAAACAAGACACTCTGATAGACTGCTGCATCACAGTTGTGATAATTGGTGATAATTAATATCTCCATTCATATTAAATTGCATCGAATCAGCATTGTGAAACTTCATGAAACTTCATGTTTTTCCTTGTGAGAAAGAATCTTCATCAGTGACTTCTCAGAAGACAGGAATTTTCAACTTTCTAGCATGATGAAACATTAAAAATTTGTCTGAGGAGGTGTAGGGAACATTTCAAGAATGATATTGGGAATATCCAGGGATAAGCAAACGAGTGTCATGGCCCCATCGGAGCGCGGTTTGGAGAAGGAGAAGGAGGAGGAATTGGAACTGGGACCATCCGAAGGCTTGGAACATCTCCCTTGATGTGTTTGGAGAGGCCAGGGGCTGAGGATGATGCTGTCCCAGGCCCCTCAGGCATTGGGAAAGGTGGGCGACCCAGACAGAGAGTTGCTTGCCTTCACAGAGACATGGGTGGATCAGCTGCTGACAGGCAGTGGTGCTAATAGGCAGCAGACCTCCTCTGATGAGGAACAGTTGCCTCCCCCACTCGATCCAAGGGCATGGAGTGCAGAGCATAGGCAAGCTCAGAGAGGGTTGTGAGGCTACGTGGGAGAAGGTCACCCCATCCTTCCTCACAAGGAAAACTAGAGTGGAAGAGAGAAGCCATGGGGAGTTAGTCTTCACCAGGAACAATTGTTTGTTGTGACTTACACTCCCTTGGCCATTTGCCTTGCCTTGATTCAAAGACTGTTCTTCACCTTTTGTCTTGGACCTTGCCCTTGTCTTGTGGACTGCTTTGGCCCTTTGCTTCACTTTGCCTTTAGAACTGCCTCTTGCCTTGGACCTTGTCTTTGCCCCAAGGACTGCCATTTGTCTTGTGCCTGGAATCTGCCTTGTGGACTCGCTTAGCCAGGTGGACTGGACTTGGAACCCTGGACCTTGCCCTGTGAGCATGCTCCTACCCGTGGACTTTATTTGTACCACAGGGGATGTTGTTTGGGGGATTGGGGGTGAATGCCTTCAGGGTAGCATGTGGGTAGAAGATGAGGTCCACACATGAAGGTTCAAATTAACTAATTTATTGCTAAAAGCATATGCACAGGAATCTTCTCAACTAACAATTAGCACTTGGTTAAAGGGTCAGCTGCATTCAAGGGGAGGGGTTGGACCTAGTTCACATATGACTATGTATAGATTCTAGGCTGATTCCTCTTTTCACTCCGCCCGCCATTCCTTTTCCTACAATTTTCCATGTTAGCTTGGCTAGTTTCCGACATTCATATACTGGACCTCCATTCAATAGGATGAGATTTTTCAGTATGTCTACAAGTGATTTGGGCACTATTTGGGGAATAGCTACTGCAAGTCCATGGTTCACAAACATCTGTCATATTCACAAGCAAATGAGATACTGTTATCTGAAAGAAAACCATTCAGTTTTAGAAAGTTTTCAAGTAAACATTCTAGTACAAAAAGTACAACAGACTGTTTTGGGGGAAGAAAAATAGGGAAAGAAAAGCTATCATTCACATTACTGCAGAGTAAAATGGAATAATTAATAAATTTGCCCCTAGCATGCAGAAAAACATTTTAATTGTAATAATCCTGATGTAAAGATAGATATTCTGGGCAGAACTATGTATGAACCAGAGCCAACACATCTGGCTTGTTTCATAACACTTACTGTATGCCCTCCTTTATAGAAGGCAATCCTTCTTTCAAATAGGCCATTACAAGATTCAGTTCAGCTCCAATTCTGTTAATGAATAATAAGCAATAATGTGAGAAGAAAGCTGTTAAGAACCCTGAGGAATGATGGACCCAAATTTCATGCATTATAAATCAACAAAAATTAAAAAAATATGAAATGTTAACTTTGTCAGCAAAAATTCAGATGAGTCCCAGAGGAAATGTTGAAAACCTATGTCTATGTCCAGCTTCTGTCATTTCCTACACCCTGCTAGCTCATGCAGATATGGGAAGATACAAATTCTTCCATTTGGAAAGCTACTATGATTGTATGTCCTGCTTCCATTCATCTCAATGGTGGGGGAAAGAACCCTATAACAACTAATTCAAAATTGCTTGGCATTGCTGTAGCTTTCCCTGCAGCTGTTTCTGGAGGATGGAAGGACATTGGATCTTGCAGATCCATAGCCAATTCCAGCGCACAGCACAGAGCCATGGTGTTGTCCCCAATTCGGGTCTGAGCCTGGTGCTGAAGCCAATGATGGACACCAGACACGAGGTGCAGGTTGTCTGATTGCTTTTTATTGGTGTACTCCAAGGAAAAGGTCTGCTGGTCAAAATGCCAAGAGCCAAGAACAAAGGATTGAGTAAGTTTTATACATTTTCACTAAAGGAGAAGGTGGGACAAAGCGAGATGATAAGAAATATCATCCAATAAACATTTTAGTAATAATTCTACCATTTGTTCTATTGGTCTCTAGCTGTCCCTATTCCTAAGTCTTGGCTAATGAATGCCCTAGGAGTTATCTAATACACATTTGATTTGCTGCAGGCCATCTCTATTCCTAACTTTTAGCTGAGGTCTGCCAGTTGTCTAACTCATGTTACTTTTATCAGTAAAGTATCATGTTACTTTCCAATTAGCCAGGATTGTTACAAGATTTACACATGCATATTTCCTCTGGATAAGAATTCTTTGTTCTTGCCAGGCAGACTCCACAATTACAGGCTTCCTGATTTCAGTGTACTTTCAAGTGCATGTATGATCTTGCTTTATTTTAGCAGATATCCCCTCAGTGGTGGTGCAGTGGTGAGAATGCAGTATTGCCAGTTAATTCTGCTGACTGTCAGCAGTTCGATCCTGACCAGTTCACGGTTGATTCAGCCTTCTATCCATCCAAGGTCAGTAAAGTGAGAACCCACTTTGTTGGGGGCAATATAGTGAATCTGT